TAATGGCAGACATTTTTTAGTCAGTTGCCCCTTTTTCTCTATATGTATTTTTGAAGGCTTTAAGGGTAAAAATTAAAAACACCCTCCTCTCATTTGTAGAAATAGGGAATATTTCTAGAAGAGTCCAGAAAGAACGGTGGCTGGGGAATTGAAGGCATGAGGAAGATTTTCCACTGTAAACTTCAAAAAAATCTGTTGGCATCATGTTCATATATTTCAAAATACTTTAAAAATCTGCTGGAGAAAGGACATAGAGATCATAAAATAGATTGTCGTAAAAAAAGGAAAAAGATCTAACTGACGATCTTTTTCTCTTCTTTTACCCAAAGGGAATTTGCCTAGAGAATTAAATTTTATATTTGGGATATTAATTTTTTTTCCCCAGGAATAACAGAACTTAGATTCAATAAGTATCTTCTTAAAATCTCGGGCTTAAATAGGTTTGATTTCTGATTTCTGAGCGCAACTAAATGTCAACAGAATTCAAATTCCAACGCCTCCCTGTTGATAATCAAGCACAAACCAGGAAGGCTGAAGAGCAATCTGGAAAGTTCTGTCAACTTTCAAGTCCAGCGCAAAGAGTTTTACACAGCTGTGTGTAATTTCTGCTTTTCTTTTCAAAATTCCATGTAGACCTGCCATAGGCATTTCTCCCTTGGAAACTTAGTTTTCACTTCTGTGTTCTGCGGAACTCCTGAGGCTCCTGACGACCCGTCTGACGCGGGCTTGAGGCCGCGGCCCTGGGATTTGTCGAGTCATTCGTCTTGTCCGGGCGCCCGCCCGGTGGGGGATGGGCGCGGCCGCCACAAGTTTGGGGTCTGGACTCGCAGAGTAGGCCTCGCGACGGGCTGAGGATGAGGGGGAAGTTCAGGGCAACAGAAACACTACCCACAACTAAATGTGACTCACGATAAACACCCCTCTTTATTCGCGGGGGGGAGGGGCAGGGCGGGGTGTACGCTGGGGGAGCGGGACCCCGACTCTGTGTGAGGCGCTCGGCCGCGCCCCGGTACGCCTAGGGCGGGCCTCGCGAATAGCGGGGCCCGTCCGGGCCGGGGGGGAGGGGGCATCGAGGCCGGGCGGTGGAGACTGCCCGCTCCGGACGTCTGGGCGACTCCACGCCTGGTTTTCAGGCCGCCCGCTCCCCACTCTCCCTCCCCTCAAGTCGAGCCCCGGGCACGTCCGCGGACGCAGCTCTCAACGAGCGCGCTGATCCCTCCGCCCGGCCTCTCGGGACGGCGGCCCGCTCCGCGCCAGATTCGGCCCCAAAGCTCCAGTCTTCACAGGAGAGCATTTTATGAGTGGAATTAGTCGAGTCTGGGCTTTCTCTTCAGAGGGCAGGAGGGCTGCGAAAAGTAGTCCCTTCTCGGCGTTTCTGCGGAAGGATCTATCGGAGCGGCGCTACCTGTAACTATATAAGGAAGCGCCGGCGGGAGCGGTTCGGAGTCTGCTTCGTGAAGGCTGCGAGTTGAGTTGCGGTTTTTCTGCGTTCGCTGCGGTCACCACCACTTGGTAAGGAGGGGGCCCGGGGGTCTCGTGGCCGCGGGGGGCGCGGGGGGTCGACTTGCCCGCTGCGGCAGAGGGGGCAGCCGAGGCCTTTAGTCACCCGGGGCTCGCTAGCAGCAGGGGAGCCCTGAGGCGGAGGAACGCGGCAAAATGGCGTCCGTTCCCCATCCCTCGGTGGGAGAAGCCGGACTCCGAAGCGGGCTATGAGGTGGGAGAGAGAAGATGGGGGGCGGGGGAGGGGACTGCGGGTGAAAAGGAAACGCGAGAGGCCCGTGAGGCCTCCGTGGCGGCGGGGCCCAGCTTTTTGGGGAACGGGGTTGGTAGCGTGTGAGGGAATCGAACATTAGGTCACGGTTTGACTTGAGCGAGAACTCGGTTTCCCGTCCCAGTAAGGGGACATTAACTGCCGATGCCACGGAGCCGTCCTGCACCCGCGATGGGGGAGGGGACCCGCTCGCCACCGCGGTTACGAGACGTCATCCCTTCTGTGGGCTCGTAATCGAGGGTGGGGCCGCCTGCTGGTATGTGTGGAGGGAGAGCTTTTCTGGTCTCGGGGCACAGGTTTTGGGCCTGGGGTGGTCGCTGCCGTGTTGGCAGGGGACAGACGGCCAGTGAGCGGGGAGGATAAGTGAGGCCCGCGAATTGACTTGGGTCAGGTTTCCCTGCCTTTCTTTAAGTGTGTGAAACGTTGGTTTTCACCTTATTTGTCAAGCTTTTGAGTTTTTGGGCAAGTTAGTCATTTGGTTAGTATATAGTGACGTATAATTTTGTAGCATTAGGTGTGTGTTGACCTCTGAATTACCTGTTAAACGCTGGGGTTATTCTTTGTGTTAATTTTTTTTGTTGCAACAGACAATGCAGATCTTCGTGAAGACCTTGACTGGTAAGACCATCACTCTGGAGGTGGAGCCCAGTGACACCATCGAGAACGTCAAGGGGAAGATCCAGGAAAAAGAGGGCATCCCCCCAGACCAGCAGAGGCTGATCTTTGCCGGGAAACAGCTGGAAGATGGGCGCACCCTGTCTGACTACAACATCCAGAAAGAGTCGACCCTGCACCTGGTCCTCCGTCTGAGGGGTGGGATGCAGATCTTCGTGAAGACCCTGACCGGTAAGACCATCACCCTGGAGGTGGAGCCCAGTGACACCATCGAGAACGTGAAGGCCAAGATCCAGGACAAGGAGGGCATCCCCCCTGACCAGCAGAGGCTGATTTTTGCCGGGAAACAGCTGGAAGATGGCCGCACTCTTTCTGATTACAACATCCAGAAAGAGTCGACCCTGCACCTGGTCCTCCGTCTGAGGGGTGGGATGCAGATCTTCGTGAAGACCCTGACCGGTAAGACCATCACCCTGGAGGTGGAGCCCAGTGACACCATCGAGAACGTGAAGGCCAAGATCCAGGACAAGGAGGGCATCCCCCCTGACCAGCAGAGGTTGATCTTTGCGGGCAAACAGCTGGAAGATGGCCGCACTCTTTCTGATTACAACATCCAGAAAGAGTCGACCCTGCACCTGGTCCTCCGTCTGAGGGGTGGGATGCAGATCTTCGTGAAGACCCTGACCGGTAAGACCATCACCCTGGAGGTGGAGCCCAGTGACACCATCGAGAACGTGAAGGCCAAGATCCAGGACAAGGAGGGCATCCCCCCTGACCAGCAGAGGCTCATCTTTGCCGGGAAACAGCTGGAAGATGGCCGCACTCTTTCTGATTACAACATCCAGAAAGAGTCGACCCTGCACCTGGTCCTCCGTCTGAGGGGTGGGATGCAGATCTTCGTGAAGACCCTGACCGGTAAGACCATCACCCTGGAGGTGGAGCCCAGTGACACCATCGAGAACGTGAAGGCCAAGATCCAGGACAAGGAGGGCATCCCCCCTGACCAGCAGAGGTTGATCTTTGCGGGCAAACAGCTGGAAGATGGCCGCACTCTTTCTGATTACAACATCCAGAAAGAGTCGACCCTGCACCTGGTCCTCCGTCTGAGGGGTGGGATGCAGATCTTCGTGAAGACCCTGACCGGTAAGACCATCACCCTGGAGGTGGAGCCCAGTGACACCATCGAGAACGTGAAGGCCAAGATCCAGGACAAGGAGGGCATCCCCCCTGACCAGCAGAGGCTCATCTTTGCCGGGAAACAGCTGGAAGATGGGCGCACCCTGTCTGACTACAACATCCAGAAAGAATCCACTCTGCACCTGGTCCTGCGCTTGAGGGGAGGTGTCTTAAGTTCTCCCTTTTAAGCTTTTGACAAGTTTCATTGCACTTTTCTTTCAATAAAGTTGTTGGCATTCTCAAATAGTGTAATTTATTTATTTTTAATAAGTTTGCAGAAGATTCTTTTTAGTTAGGGGTGGGGTGTGAGGGATCAAAGTTTTGGTCTACCAGATGATTCTGTGGTAACCTAGAGGTAAGCAGTGTCAGTAAGAGATGGCCTTAACATAGGACTGTAGCGGGTGAGTATAAATAAAACCCAGACAAGTTGGAGGTTGCAGTTAGAATTTTCCATGTGGATGCTTAGATGTAGATTTACTTGTAAACTACTGACTAAAAATACTGAGTTTGGGTGTGGTCCCTGAGAGTGGGAGAGTTTCTGGAATACCAGCAGGGAGGAGCTATTAGAGGGCCGGAGTGGTGGAAGGGAACCTACAGAAAAATCAGTTTTAGTACATCGCTCTGTTTAAATTCACATTGAGCTGCATAGAAAGTCATTTGACCAGATGTTTTTTAAAAAGGATGTGGCAATGTTTTTTTGAATTTTATGTTTTATACAGCAGGTTCTTACTATATTGTATGCATATTAGTGTATATATGTCAATCCCAATTTCCCAATTCACACCACCACGCCCTGCCACTTTCCCCTCTTGGTGTCCACACGTTTGTTCTCTAGGATGTGGCAGTTTAATTTTTACTAAAGTCTCATTAGGCGTTATGCTAGAAAGTTTAGGAGTTAGTAGTTAGAGAATTAAAGCTATTGTCAAAATTTTTGCTGAGATAAAAGTCAAGATTCCTTAATTTTCTTTGACTAGGTGAAAGATTTGTATATAGCTAAATTGGTGGGTGAAGCAGCTGGCTCTTGGTCTTTCATAGTAGTGACTGACCCAATTAGATGCTACTGGTAAGTATCTTTGTATGTCATAACTAGAGCCAAAGGTGAAAGTTGCAGGGAATCTGGTTTAATATAAGGAGCTGGCGCTGGTTGGTAGGTACCCCAGAAGTCAGAGGCTTATTTGAAGGACTCGAAATAAGGGATTGTTTTCTCAAAAGAGCATCAACACTCCCGCTAGCTTCTCCCTTCCTCTCTCCCACTTTTAGGGTATGCATGTGTAACTTCTGATGCAGAGGAAATTCTGTATTACTGCCAGTTCTAAAATACCTGAAGTCAACAGGTTTAAGTCCTCGCTTTAGGGCATCACAACTAGGAAATGCCATTTGAGAAGTTTGTCTTAGGCAAATCTGTTAACATTGTGGGTTTTCACTTTATGGACACCAGAGCATGTATAGTTCACTGGATTTCCATGATTCACCCATGCAAATGAACATACAGGTCGAGAAGCAACATTACAAAAATCCCTGGAACTCCACCAGCACCTGTAATCACGTCCAGTCGCTGTGAGTAGTTTTTGTGTAAGTAATTTTATTGCTCATTAAAAGTAAGTGGTCATAGCATAGGGGAAAAACCTCAATAGCATCTTGAAAATGACCACACTGCAGGACAGGTTTTGCAAGGTTCCTAAGGCGGTGTTAGTGATGAGTGCTTTGTCTTCAAGTGTGAGGCGGTCAGTGGCTAGTGATGCTTCAGAATGTGGGGCTGGGTCAGCTCGTGGTGGGGGACCATGTGTGTGACACGCAGTTAGAAGGATCTTGACATTAGAGCATAAAGCTGTGTGGGTGTCCTAGGGGTGGGGATGCTCAATGGAGAACTTGCTGAGGAACACTTGGCTTCTGCCTGTCAAGTTTAATGAAAGGAATTGCTAATTACAGGTTTAAACACTAGAAAAGATTTGAAAATCAAAAACATTAAAATCAGTGATGGTACAAACTATATATAAATGTATTAAATATTAAAATATGCGTAAGATATAGTACAAACATTAAAATGATAAAGGAAGTGAAAGTTGCACATAAGCTTACTCCCAGGAAAATGAGTATATTTGCCTCTTACTGTGTCTAATTACAATGTGTACATACAGTGTTTTATAAAGTCAAAGGTAGCCCACCTAAGTTCTTAAGTAGGTAACTAACCATATTCCTTCCCAGTGATAACTAATTTTAAAGTTTGGTATTCCTTTGGGCTTTCCTCCTGTGTAGTAAATGCATATAGATGTATACATAAATACAAATAGGACCATTCACAACATAGTGTTTCTCAGCTTTTTTCTTAAAACTAGGTAATTATGGACATCTTTCCATGCCAGCATATCAAGATCTCCCATCTTTTTTTTTTTTTTTTTTTTTTTTTTTGCGGTACGCGGGCCTCTCACTGTTGTGGCCTCTGCCACTGCGGAGCACAGGCTCCGGACGCGCAGGCTCAGCGGCCATGGCTCAGGGGCCCAGCCGCTCCGTGGCACGTGGGATCTTCCCGGACCGGGGTATGAACCGTGTCCCCTGCATCGGCAGGCGGACTCTCAACCACTGTGCCACCAGGGAAGCCCTCTCCCATCATTTTTAATACTCCAGCTAGTATTTCATTGTATAGATGATCTGTGACTTATTTAAGCTGTCCACCAACATTTGATTCTAGGTTTTTGCTGTTAGAATCCTGCTGTAAAGTACATCCTTACACACATATCTGTCATATACTAATATTTTGAAAGGATAGCATAAAAATATAAGATTTCTATCTAATAAGGTTCTTGGGGATAATTTTAAAAATCAGCCTTAAAACATTTTTATAAATAATGATTACTGTATTTGTTACTCTCATATTTTCCTACTTTTATTTTTTTGAGTAGATAATAAGTTCATGTGTTTCAGACATATAAAAAGTTTAAAAGAGTACATAATGAAAAGTTTTCAATTTTGTCTCCCAGCCACTTGGTTCTCCACCTCCCCTAGTATGTGCTTTCAGAGTTTATGCATGTACAAGTGACTAATAATTATTAATTCCCCTTTATGCGAAAGGTAGCATACTGGCTTGCAGTCTGTCCTGCACCATGCTTTTTCACTTTATGTCTTATAGTTTTGACAAGAGTTCTAATATCCTTTCATTATAAAGGAAAAATACCTTTCATGTAATTTTCTCAATAAAGACCACGAGAGCAACACAATCCCTAGTGAACATTTACAGGACCCTTCACCCAACAAATACAAGCATGACGGGAAAAATAGTGATATAGTGATGAACGAGAAGCGTTTCTATCATCAAGGGATTCTGAGGCTGAAGAACAGAGATGCTAGACTTGATCAGTTTCGTTGAATGATCTTAAAGCACCCCAAAGTTTGGTTTCACACGTGAGTTAATACTGTGTAAGGATTCATTTACATAGATGTGATTGTGTGAATCTTGAATAAACCAGAAGAAAAATGCGTGGCTCATATTTGTTTAGTGTTCCTTTTTATGTTTTGTCTGAAAGCACAACGAAGTCCTCGTCAAGTTTTTGTAAATATGGTCCTCAGAGAGGTAATGCTGTTTAGAGATTGGCAAGCGCTTTTTAACTCAAGGATGTCAGCCTTAGTGTGCAGTGATATCTCTGCCGGAAGAGGGAGCTACTGGAACAGACTTTGGTTTAGTCATGAAGCCTGCAGCGCCCCCAGGCGGTGTGGGTGACTAGGCAATTTGTGCTTTTACTTTTCTGTTTCTCACAGTGGGTTGTTTACTCATTAGTAAAAGTTAATTTACTGTCCTCCCAAATGCCTTTTACTTTATCCTGTTTCTGCCGGTCCTGAAGCCATCTCCATTTTTTTTTTAATTTATTTTTTGGCTGCGTTGGGTCTTCGTTGCTGCATGCAGTTTTTTCTCTAGTTGCTGCGAGCAGGGCTACTCTTCATTGAGGTGCACAGGCTTCTCGTTGCGTGGCTTCTCTTGTTGTGGAGCACAGGCTGTAGGCGCACGGGCTTCAGTAGTTGTGACGCACGGGCTTAGTTGCTCCGCGGCATGTGGGATTTCCCGGACCAGGGATGGAACTCATCCCTGGTTCGATTGCGTTGGCAGGTGGATTCTTAACCGCTGCGCCACCAGGGAAGCCCCAAGCCATCTCCTTTTCCATTCCAGCTGGAATGACTCCTCCATAGAATCTAATGTAGCTATTATTCAACGTAGATTCTCTGTTTCTTACAGTATCTCATCAGATCTAACCCCTCAAAATGCCCTTCTCCCTGCTTCTCTTATCTGCTGACCACTTTCTTTTTCCCCATATGCTCCCTGACATTTTCTACGTCCTTGTTTCACTCCAGCTGCTCCCTGTTTCTAAAATACCACCTTTCCCCTATGTCTGACTTAAAAAAAAAACAAGTCTGTAGCCTTGGCTGCAGTAAGGAAAGAGCTGGGTTCCTGGGACAGCACAGAGAGGTTATATTGCAGCCCAGAGAAGGCGGGTATAGGATGGCAAGAGGTAACTGGCAGAATTTCCTGAGGCAGGAGGCTGGCTGAGCAGCAAGGGGCTATCAGCACAGATTTGTGGAAAGTGTAAGCATTCCTCAGAAACCCCCCAAAATACCATAGAAGGGAAACTGGTAAGTGGACTTCCTAGAGGCGGTCACATACAATGCAGAACAGACCGGTCATGTGGGCCTTAAAGGAAATGCTGACTCTTCCACACTGGCCCACACAGATGCTGGGTCACAACTCCCTGCCCCCTCCTCCCTGTTGGTCATTCCCCTGGCATAGTCCAACCTGATGGGGCTTCACTAGAGTTTTCAAAGCCCCCCGCCCAAATGCTTGAGACTGTAAAAAATATGTTGTATCCAATATATGAAAATTACAAGATTGAATTTAAATATTTTAGAATCTTCAAAAGTTAACACATAAACTGGCACAGATTCAGTGCTGACATAGGGACTTGTATTTAATGGGGGTACTTGTTAATGCAAGATATAATATGAAATGCTTTATATTTGGCTGTGGCATCCAAAGTAAACATGTCTAGAGCCTACATGGGTCTTAAACTGGCCCTGTTCTTTTCTTTCATTTAAAAAGAAAATTGAAAACAGATTAGACATTTTTTTTTCAAATGTTTCCCTGCCAAAAGAGAATTTTGAAAGTTTTTGGAATAAATCATCCCAAGAATATCAGTATAGCTGATTTATTTTTTGATCCAGGATCCAGTAAAGATTCATGCTTTGCATTGGTTATTATAT